GAGGTAAGAGTCACACAGGGGCTGGGAAGGTGGCTCAGTGGTAGAGTGCTTGCCTTGCATGCATGAGGCCATGGGTTTGAATCCTCAGCACCACTTAAGCAGGAAAAGCCAGAAATGGAGCTGTGGCTCAAGTGGTAGAGCGCTAGCCTTGAGCTGAAGAGCTCAGGAACCACTCAGTGCCCAGGCCTAGAGTTCAACCCTATGACCAACCCGCCCCTCCCCCCCCCCCTCAAAAGTCACATGGACTTTCCTGCCCAGGCTGCTTTTGAACATGTTTCTAAAGATTTGTTTTTCTGATCCTGGGGCTTGAACTCAGGGCCTGGGTGCTGTCCCTGAGCTCTTTGCTCAAACTAGCTCTCTACCATTTTGAGCTACAGCTCCACTTCTGGTTTTCAGAAGCCTTAGCTGGCTTCTAACTGGGATTCTCAGCTCTCAGTCTTCAGAGTAGCCACAGGCATAAGCTACTTGCTGCCCTGCTCATTCTAGCCTTTTTGATGTTGAAGCAGGAGGATCAAAAGGTCAAATCCAATCTGAGTTGCATAGTGAAACCCTATCTCAAAAAAAAACCAACAACAATAAGTGAACAAAGACAGTTCAGTTTCCTCAAACTCAACACCCTTGTAAGCAATAACTGAGCAAGAACAATGATAGACCATGATAGCCCCCAGAGCCCTGCTGTGCCCCTCCTGAGACCTGAGGGTGGCTGCCACATCCTCCCCTGATATATCCTACTATAGGCTGATTCTGCCTGTCCTAGAATGTCCCGTCAGTGAGCTACCTTTGGGGTCTGGCAGCTTTGACTCTATGTTATGTGGTGTGTTTCAGGGTTTGGCCTTTTGTGTGGCTGTGTAATATTCCACTGTGTGAATTTTATCCCAAAGTATTTTGACTATTCTGATGGAGAACAGAAAAAAAGAAAAAAAGGGCTGGGAAGGTGGCTCAGTGGTAGAGTGCTTGCCTTGCATGCATGAGGCCCTGGGTTCGAATCCTCAGCACCACATAAGCAGAAAAAACTGAAGTGGTGCTGTGGTTCCAGTGGTGGAGTCCTAGCCTTGAGCAAAAAGAAGCTCAGGGACAGCTTCCAGGCCCAGAGTTCAGGCCCCACAACCAACCAAAAAAGAAAGAAAGAAAGGAAAGAAGGAAGAAAGAGGAAGGAAAGAAGGAAGGAAGGAAGGAGGGAGGGAAGGAAGGAAGGAGGGAAGGAAGGAGAAAAGCAAAACTATATAGAGATAGTTCGGAAACAGCAGGGTTCATTGTACTGTTCTAAGATTTTCTGTAAGTTGCTGAGTGCTGGTAGCTCACATCTGTAATCCTTGCTACTCAGGAGTATGGAATTTGAGAATCAAAGCCAATCCAGGCAGGAAAGCCTATGAAACTTTTATCTCCAATGAACCACCAAAAAAGCCTAAAGTGGAGCTGTGGCTCAAATGGTAGAGCACCAGCCTTGAGTGAAAAAGCTGGAGGAACTCTTGTGCCCAGGCCCTGAGTTCAAGCCCCAGTACTGGCACACATGTACACACACACACACACACACACACAGAGGTTCTGTAAACTTGGAGCTGTGCACAGAACAAGGCTCTCTGTCATGCTACCATGCACAGAGACCCGGAGGACACGGCGCTCAGTGACAGAAACTCCCACAGACCTTGGCTCCATTGATAGGCTATGGCCCGAACAGGGGGAATGCAGAGACAGGAAGTCGATTTGTGGGTGCCAGGGGCTGGGGAGGGGATAGGGTGACTATTCCTGAGGATGGGGCTGCTTTTGGTGTGATGGAATGTTCTGGAATGAGAGGTGGTGGTTGCATACCTCTGATGCACTAATAACCCTGAATTGTACACTTTAAATGGATGATTTGTATGGTATGCAAATTATATTTCAATAAAGCTGTTATTAAACAACTCAGAGGCCAGGGGTGTGACCAGCCATGCCTCCTCCCTCCCAGGGCCCAAACAGAGTCCTCTGAGCGCAGGGTCCTCAGCCCGGGAAGGCAAACAGGGGTTTCTGGATGTCCAGCTAGGTAGATTTATTTGGTGCCATGATACTACCTGTTCCCAGAGAGCTACCTGAATTCTCTTGGCCTTCCAGACACCTCACCCAGCCCATTTCATGGAGGAGAGGCTGAGGTGTGGCCCTCAGAGGTGACCTCAGGTGTGGCCTCAGTGTAAGGAGTGGGGCCAGGCTAGACCTGGACCTGGGGCGCCCTCACCCCATCTCCGGCCTCAGCCCTGAGATAGGCACCACTCTATCCCCTAGAGGTATCCACCCCAAGCCAGCAGGAAGGAGTCAGGGATCCCCTGAGCCACTAGAAAGGAACCTTGGCACCTTGCAGGACCGGTTGTCCCTCCAGAGGGCTCCCCAAAACAGTGCAGATTATTAGTACGCCCTCACCCTGCGCTGCTATTTAAAGATGTGCCCAGGGCAGGGCAGGTAGGATGGCTGGCTTGTGGTGAGCAAAGGGTGAGAACTGGTTTTTGTGTGTGTGTATACACATGCATGCACGCGTGCACAGACACACATAGGTACCAGGGCCTGAACTCAGGGCCTGGGCGCTGTCCCTGAGCTTTTTCTACTCAAGGCTAGCACTAGGCCACTGGAGCCACAGCTCCACTTCCAGCTTTTCGGTGGTTAATCAGCGATAAGAGCCTCATGGACTTTCCTGATAAAGCTGGCTTCCAACCAAGATCCTCAGACCTCAGCCTCCTGAGTAGCTGGGTGGGGGTGACCGTGGCTGTCTGTACTAGGGTAGCTGGGGTACTGTGTGCTGGGGCTCTGGTGTATGATGGGGAGCTGGTGTAGGTGTGGACACAACACTCCCTCCTGCTGCCCCAACATACAGTTTAGACACTAAGACAGGAACTGGACTCACTGCCACCTGTGCTGTGGGTTGTCAGCCATTGGCTAACCTACCTGTCTGTCTTCCGCCCTACAGCCTAGGTTCCTGCGTCCCCCCCCCACCCCCCACTGCCCACCTGCTCCACCCAGACCAGTCCCAGAAGTTACAATTTAGGAGAAGATGAATTGCTCCCTCCTCCCAGGCATGCCATGTCCAGCCCAACCCCTGCCCCCCCCCCACACACACACTATAAGACACTCCTTATAGAAGCTTCCATCTCAACCCTTGACATCACCACCCCCCCAGCATTTCCATTTCTGTCTGTATACATTGTCCCCTCTGTCTCAGTCTCTGTCTCTCCCTGCAGCCTTGTCTCTGTTTATCTCTTTTGTGTGTATGCTGGATGCTGGTCCTGGGGCTTGAATTCTGGGCCTGGGCGCTGTCCCTTAGCTCTTCAGCTCAAGGTAAGCACTCTACCACTTGAGCCACAGAACCACTTCTGGTTTTCTGACAGGTCACTGGAGATAAGAGTCTCATGGAGGGGCTGGGAAGGTGGCTCAGTGGTAGAGCACTTGCCTTGCATGCCTAAGGCCCTGGGTTCGATTCCTCAGCACCACATAAGCAAAAAGAAAAAAGCTAGAGCCGGGCTCTGGTGGCTCACGCCTGTAATCCTAGCTACTCAGGAGGCTGAGATCTGAGGATCGCGGTTCAAAGCCAGCCCGGGCAGGAAAGACCGTGAGACTCCTATCTCCAATAAACCACCAGAAAACCGGAAGTGGCACTGTAGCTCAAGTGGTAGAGCGCTCGCCTTGAGCTGAAGCGCTGAGGGACAGCGCCCAGGCCCAGAGTTCAAGCCCCACAGCCGACCAAAAAAAAAAAAAAAGAAAAAAGCTGGAAGTGGTGCTGTGGCTCAAGTGGTAGAGCGCTAGCCTTGAGCTGAAGAGCTGAGGGACAGCGCCCAGGCCCAGAGTTCAGGCGTCACAACCGGACCAAAAAAAAAAAGTCTCATGGACTTTCCCGCCCTGGCTGGCTGGCTTTGAACTCTGATCCTCAGATCTTAGCCTCCTGAGTAGCTAGGATTACAGGGATGAGTCACTGGCGCCCAGCTTCCCTTAGCCTTTTTTGCTCAAGGCTAATGCTCTTACCACTTGAGCCACAGCTCCACTTCTGACTTTTTATTTATTATTATTATTATTATGTTGTTGTTGTTAATAAGGGGCCCTCCTGCCTGGGCTGGCTTTTATCCTCAATCTCAGCCTCCTAAGTAGCAAGGATTACAGGGTGAGTCACCAGGGCCCGGACTGTTTATCTTTTTCTTTGCTTTTATTGTTGTTTGTTGTGGGTACTGGGCTCTCTCGAATTTTTTTTTTTTTTTTGGGTCCTGTCGTGGGGCCTGAACTCTGGGCCTGGGCGCTGTCCCTCAGCTCTTCAGCTCAAGGCTAGCGCTCTACCACTTGAGCCACAGTGCCACTTCCGGCTTTTTTTTTTCTGCTTATGTGGTGCTGAGGAATCGAACCCAGGGCCTCGGGCATGCAAGACAAGCGCTCTACCACTGAGCCACCTTCCCAGCCCGTACTGGGCTCTCTCGACCCTGAGCTTTGTTGCTCAAGGCTAGGGCACCCCTACGTGGAACCACGGCCCCACTTCCGGATTTTGAGTGAGTAATTGGAGATAAGCGTCTCAGGGACTTTCCTGCCGCGGCTGGCTTCGAACCGCGATCCTCAGAGCTCAGCCTCCTGAGTCGCCACGATGACAGGCGCGCGCCTGTTCATCTTTGTCTCAGTCTCTGTGGCCTCGTTCTCGTCTGTCTCTGCCCTCGTCTTTGTCCCTGCCTCTCACCTCTGCTATCTCTCCTCCGGTCTCCATCTCCCGCCCCCGCGGCCGCATCTGCACCCCGCAGCCGCCCGCTGGATGACGCGCACGTGCCGCCCTCCAGCCCCGAGAGACAAACAAGCCTACGGCCCCGCCCACAGCTGTCACCCGCGGGCCCAGGCCGCCAACCACGCCCCCTAACGCCCATTGGCCCTCTCGCGCTAGGAAGCCCCGCCCCCGGACCCTCTCATTGGCCCCTTTGCGGTGCTTGACGCCCCGCCCCCGGCCACACCGGGGCTGAATCGCGGACGCGGGAGGCTGGAGCGCGTAGTGGGCGCAGCGGGCGCGAGCCATGCGCCACCGCCTCTGGCTGGGCCTCGCCTGGCTGCTGCTGGCGCGGGCGCCCGGCGCCGCGGGGAACCCCAACACACCGCGGAGACCACGCAGCTACCCGCACCTGGAGGGCGACGTGCGCTGGCGGCGCCTCTTCTCCTCCACCCACTTCTTCCTGCGCGTGGACCCCAGCGGCCAGGTGCAGGGCACCCGCTGGCGCCACGGCCAGGACAGTGAGTGCCCAGGGATGGCGGGGCCGGGCGGCGGGGAGGAGGCGGAGAACAACCCGGGCGGGGTGGGGGGTGGGGTGGCAGGAACAGTAACATGGCAGTGCCCCCCCCCCCCCCCCCAGTTAGAGCCAGATCTCCTGGGTGCGTGGCAATCTGGTGACAATTATTCTGGCGTGGGGCGGAAAGGAACCTGAGGCTGCACGTAGAGCTGTGCCCGCTCATTCTGGGCCATGAAGTGGGAACAAGAGAGCACCGAACTTCAGGGCTCTCAGTGCTCAGGTTAGCACCTGCCTGGGTTGGGATCCCCTCTTTTTCTTCCCAGACACCCCATGTGGTGAATGAAGAAACCGAGGCACCAAGAATGTAAATGACCTCCTCCCAGGGCTTGCCAAGAGGAGGCAGTGGAGCTGGGGCCCCATAGTGCTGAGAACCTCAGCTGTTCTCATCCTGCCTTACCCAGTCTAGAGTAGGCTAGGCATTCAACAAGGCCTTGTGGAAACAGGACAGGGTGAAGAAGGTGGGCTTCCCCACGGCCCTACAGGCTGGCAGGGGAGCTGGGGAGGGGGCTGAATGCCTCTCTGGCTACCTGAATCACCACCATCAGAGCTGGTAATCACCCTCCCTGTCCCACTGGCTTTCATCTGGGTTCCAAGGCTCTTATTAGGCTGCACGCGACCAGGGCCATGACAGGGGACTGGCCAGGCAGGTCCATCCATGGTGGCAGGGCCAGGCGGGGTGGCCTCAGGCTGGGGGAGAGGCCTGGCTCCCCTGGAAGATCTGGGATGGTCACAACTTCTGAACTTCTTCTTCCCAGCTGGTCAAGGATGGAGGTGATGATGGATGATGGATGATGGACAGGGCTTGGTACTTGCCTCCCTTCTTCCTAGATCCAGTGGTTATTAACTGAGCACTTCTTGGAGAGTATGCTGGGCATGGGAACATAGTGGTGACCAACATGAACTATCTGCCAGTGCCATAGAAGGAGCCATGCATTCATCTCAGAGGAGCCATGTAGGCTCCAAGAAAATGATAGCTGGGCCATGGCCTGGAGGTGGCCAAAACCAATTCATCTGGATCCCAAGAACCCCTCTGAGGTGGCTGAGCCTTGAATAATGGCAGGGACTTGGCTTTGCAGAGAAGAAATTGTATAACTGGCAGAAGGAACAGCAGGTTCAAAGGCCCTGGGGTGAGGATGAGGAACAAGGACCAGGAATGAAGGCAGTATGGATACTGGGTGCCTTCAGAGGAGCCTCAGGCCTCTAGGTCCAAGCTGAGGATCAGGCAGCATGCAGAAGCTCCTCTAAGCCCTTTGGTAGAGGGAGAGCTGTAGCTCAGAGCAGGGCAGGGCTCTCCCAGAGTGACAGACAAGGCTCCAAGCTAACTGCTATTCCTTGGAGTCCTCTTGTGGTGAGTGGGTGAGGTCAGCACCTCCCATTTGAGGCTGTATGTAGGCTCAGAGGAGCACAGAGGCAGAGGAAGTATACAGATTTCATTCAAACGTGTGAGCAGTTACCAACCACCCTGCTGTCTGCTGCAGGCTGTTGCCTGGGCTCTGTCTCTTGCCATTAGCCAGGCAAGGCTATAATATCCCAGAAGGAGGTGGAGGCTGGCTGAGGATGATGACAGAGTGCTGAGGTCTGTTGGCTGCTGGGGGCCTTAGCTAGTTCTCTGTGGCCAGTGGGCCACAGCAGCGGGCCCAGGGTTGCACTAAGCCATAGTGGAAGTCTGCCAGCTGGATCCTCCAAGCCCTGAGCTTGGCAGTGTCTGGTCTGCTCCCAGCTTGCATGCTGTGTAGTGCACTGAACCTTGGCCTCTGCAAACCTGGCCTGCTGCCCTATGGCCCCTGGTCCTCCTATAGACCCCCTGCCTTTCCCCTGCAGCTGGCTGCCTCCACCTGGGGCTCCTCACTTGAACTCAGGGCCTCATATTCTTGCTTAGTACTTTTTCTCTTAAGGTTTGTTTTCTACCTCTTGAACCACAGATCTGCTTCTGGCTTTCTGCTGGTTAATGGGAGATAACAGTCTCACAGACTTTCCTGCCTGGGCTGGCCTTGAACTGCAAAGCTCAGATCTCAGCATCCTGAGTAGCTAGGATAACAGATGCGAGCCGCAGGTGCCTGGCTCCTGGTTCTTGTGTATTGGCATCTTAGGCAGCTCCAGGGTATGCCATAGTTCCCAGGGTCCCAGGCCAGGCAGAGCGATTGCCCCTGAGCCTGGGAAGATCTAACCCCTCCCCCGCTCCCCACAGGTGTCATCGAGATCCGATCTGTCCTGGTGGGCACCGTGGTCATCAAGGCGGTGTACTCTGGCTTCTATGTGGCCATGAACCGCTGGGGCCGCCTCTATGGGTCGGTGAGTACGGGCAGGTGTGGGCAGCGGGCGGCGGGCAGCGGGCTCCCCTGGCTCACGCGTCCGCCCTGCAGCGGGTCTACACTGTGGACTGCAGGTTCCAGGAGCGCATCGAGGAGAACGGCTACAACACCTACGCCTCGCTCCGCTGGCGCCACCGCGGCCGGCCCATGTTCCTGGCGCTGGATGGCAGGGGGTCACCCAGGAGAGGCAGCCGGACACGGAGGCACCACCTGTCCACCCACTTCCTGCCTGTGCTGCTCTCCTGAGATCCCTTGAGCTCTGAGGGGGGGCTGTAGACAGACCCAGGAGGAGTGGGCAGGGCAGAGTCCAGAAGAACAGGAGTCAGGCAGAGGCTGAGGGTGGCAGGGACCCGGGCTCCCCCTCCCCCTTTATCTGTCTTTCAGTTGGTTCTGGTCATAAGCTTTAATTAGGTGCCTACTGTATGCCAGGCACTGGGGACCCAGTGGGGTCCTGCGCAGGTGAGGCTGGCCCCTATTCCGGAGGGAGAATGCAGCCAGTGAGCAGTTTCCCCGTGTCCAGTTTGGGGCTGAGGCGAGGACCAGTGTGCATGGCCTGAGCTGAGGTCACAGGATGCAGCCTTGAGTGTGAGAGCACAGGCCCAGGCCCAGGCCCAGGGGTGGGGACACACTGGGTGGTTAGGGATGGCAAGGATGGGGAGGGTTGAAGAGGATAGACAGCCAAGACAGAGCACCAAAGGCTCACAGTCAAGGATGGTGAACGTAAACCCCACGTGGTCAGCAGAATGACAGCCCAGAGATGTCCCTGTCCCAGGCCCTACAGCCTGAGGACATGTCACCTCATAGAGCAGAGGGATTCAACAGATGAGATCTGAAAGACTTTGAGCTGAGGACCGATCATTCTGGGCCCAGCATCACCAAGAGGGAGGCAGAGACTAGAACTGTGTTGCTGTGCTGAGGAAGGGGCTGCAAGCCAAGGGATGTAAGGCTGAAACAGGAGGGACCTGGAGCTTCCCAGGACCATTCCCCTTGGACAAAGCCCAGGGAGCCTGCTTCAGGCTACTGACCCAAGCCAGCAGATAATAAATGTCTTGAAGTCATCAAATGTATGGTCACCGTGACAGTGACAAGAGTGCTTTAATGACAAGCTCAGGCTGGCCCAGCTTTCACAGGGACACAGGCCAGGCCAATGAGAGCTCAGTGCCAGCGTACCAGGGAGTCTGTCCCTCTGTGGTGAGGTTTTCTCTCCTAACTGGCCTTCAGTCCCATTGTTGTCTCTGGCCCTTGCCTTGAGTCTTGTTCTGATGTGGCTGGCAGCTCTGGCTGCTTAAGCAGCAATGACGTGCCAAAGTCAGGCAGGAGTCAAGCTCCATTCCCACCCAGAATGCAGCCCTGTGGAGTGCCTGTGCCAACAGCCTGCCTGGCCGTGGATGCCCCAGAAGTCGTAAATGGAGGCTCACCAGCAGTCTCCCCACCTCTGTGTCATCAATCCCTGGTCCCACAGAGCTGGTAGGCTCTGGTGTTAGGATGGAATGTGTGAGGCCACAGCCGTTGTCACCGGAGCTGAGTTTTGGCACGCTGCCACCCACTAGGGTGCCTGCAGGATGACGCTCCACAGGGTGTCCTCGGTAGTAGAAGCCTAGAAAGCACCGAGTGCTGCAGGCTGGCATGGCAGGGAGCACAGCCGCCCAGCTCTGCAGGCTAACACAGACCACAAGGGTGGGGACCCGTGTCCTGAGGACAACACGGTGCAGGTGCCAAGTGGAAGAGCTGGATGAGGGGACTCCTCTTCACTTGATGTGACTGGCTCCCAGCAATTGCCATGAGGCTGCCATCACCCAGCTGCCCATGCCAAGGGCAGACACGCAGGTCCCCCCTAAGCAGCAGAGGGTCTTGGGGCACCCACATGACTAGCCGTGTCACAATTCCCTGCGAGGGACGAGCTGATACACTTCAGTGTCTGAATCCTGTCGCCTCATGAGTGTACCTGACACCTGCTTATAGGGTGGCCAGCTCTGGCTTCCCCTGCAGGAAGCACAGCTTTCCAAACGGGTAGACTGCCCAGGACCTAGGAACTGGGCCCTGACCGGAAGGAAGACACCAAACTACCAGCTCCTCTTTTTCAAGTAGGTGTATTTTAAATAGCTTTCAAGATACACATCTCTCCCTTTACAAAAGGTCTGTCGGAGCAGCTCCTTCTTGGTTCTGCGGGTCGCCCTCATGGTCCGAGGCTGGCGCTGGCTGTGCGGCCGAGGCTCTGGCCTCGGAGGGGGGCCCTGGGGTCGACAGGGCCTTGTCTGTCGGGGTGGGCGCAGCTGGGGCGAAGCAGCTCTACCCAGGCTCCTCCACAGATCATGCGTGGCCACGCATGGGCTAAAACGTCCATTTATTTCAAAGCAGTAATAATTTAAAAACATAAAAACCTTTCTGCCATGGAATATGTGGAGGGTGAGGTTAGAGACGAAGGGAGGGGCCTACGGGGGCCGTGTGGCCTGCGCCCTCTGGCAGGGCAGCAGGTGAGCACAGAAGTCCCTCCAGGGGCTGCGCACATGGTCTGAGCCGAGTCCCCAGCTTGGCCGTAGCCTGCGCCGGCCCAGTGCTGCCAGGACGCTGGGGCGGCAGCACCTCCAGTCCATGGCCGCAGCGGTGCTGGAGCCGAGGCAGGTGTAAGGAGCCAAGCTCTCCGCAGCAGCCTCAGCCCGAGAACGTGGAAGGGGCTGAGTGCTCTCCAGAGGCTGGGTGCAGCCAGCTGGGACTCAGGAGTTGCTTGAGGCGTTCTCATTGCTGGGCGAGCTAGAGGAGGACGAGGAGGACGAGGATGAGAAGCTCACCCCTGTCAGGCCTGGGGGGTTGGTGGCTGTGTTCTGGCCCGTGAGACTCTTCCGGCAGACAGGGCAGCTGTCGTGCTTGAGGCACAGAGGCAAGAGAAGGCGGGGTTAGAGGGCAGGGGTGCGGAGGCGGGGCTGGCGGGCGGGCAGGAGCGGTCAATGTAGTGTACTCACTTGCTCCAGCCAGGGCACGATGCAGCCGTCGTGGAACAGGTGGTTGCAGGGCAGCTGCCTCACGTTTTCGCCCAGTGCATAGTCATCCTTGCACACAGGACATTCAAGGCCAGAGCCTAGGGAAGGAGGGAGGAAAAGAGGGCTGGTGAGGGACAGGGAAGATCACGAGGGGACAGAGATGACCCGCCACTCTCCTGGGCTGGCCTCAGCAACAGGGAGCATACCTACGTGCTCCTCGGTGACAGGGACAGTGGGGAGGGCCTGGATCTTCTCCTTGTCTGCAGGCGGGGGACCGGTGTTCTCAAACTGATTGAGGAGCTGGAAGACAAGGGGGGTGGGGAGCTGCTACTGGGGCAGGGCTCCCACACAGCTGGGACCAGCCAGTCCACAGCAATGCTCCTCTTGCTGCTAGCCTGGCCACCTGCCCTGGTCAACACCCCCCCAGACAGGACACCACAGCATGTATCCCATTCTGCCTACACAAGACCATGTCCAGCCTTAGGAGAATAGGTGTCCTGGGGAATGTCTAAGGGAAAGAGAGGGTGTGGCACCACAGCAATTTTACTGCCACTCCAGGGGACATTCAAAAGAACTGACCCCAGGCCATGCAGACTTAAAAGGGCTCTGGATGCAGATTCTGCCTGCCCTAGATTCCACTGGCCTCCTAGTATGGGGTCATTAGGGCAGCCCAGCTCCCGATCCCCTCATAGACAGCTACCCAGTACCTGGGTGATGATGGCGTCCAGGCCATTGGCCCCCCAGGCATAGTCCATCGGGTTTGAGTGCAGGACACCCCTGGAGGAAGAGGCCGGGTCAAGGGGATGCAGGGTGGTGGGGGGTCCCGGTGCCCACCCGCTACTTACCAGGGGCCCAGGCCCAGGTTGGGGATGGTGGCCGGCGTGATGATGCCATTGACCAGCTGCTGGATGATTCTGGAAGAGAGTTAAGGGCCATTATGGAGGGCACAGGAGGGCAAGGCCTGCTCTCAGTGCCGAGGGCAGGGCCAGTCACCTCTCTAGTGCTTTTTGTTTTTGCTGGTGTGGCGATGAAGTCAGGCCTGGGCCATCTCTGAGCTCTTCTGCTCAGAGCTAGCGCTCTACCACTTTTGAGCCACAGATCTACTTTTTTTGAGTGGGGAGGGGGATCTTGAACTCTGGGCCTGGGCATTGTCCCTGAGCTCTTCAACTCAAGGCCAGAACTCTACCACTTGAGCAACAGCCCACTTCCCGTTTTCTGACTGGTCACTGGAGATAAGAGATAAGAGCCCATGAGACTTATATATTCCCCCCCCACCCTTTTTTGTCTGTTGTGGGGTTTGTTGTTTGGGTTTTTTTAACTGTATTTTTTTGTCTTTTCTTTTTTGGTACTGGGGATCGAACCCAGGACGTTGCACTTGCTAGGCAAGCGCTTTGCCACTGAGCTACATCCCAGCCCTGTTGTGGGGTTTGAACTCAGGGCCTGGGCACTGTTCCTGAGCCTCTTTGTGTCACAGCACCACTTCTGTTTTTTGAGTGGATAAAGAGTCTCACAGGGACTTTTCTGCCTGGGTTGGCTTCAAACCGTGATCCTCAGATCTTAGCCTCCTGAGTAGCTAGGATTACAAGTGTGAGCCATTGGAGCCTTGCTGTAAGACTCTTATTTCTAATAAACTACTAAGAAAAAAGGCTGGAAATGGATCAGTGTCAAGTGGTAGAGCACTAGCCTTGAGCAAAAAGCTCAGGAACAGTGATCAGGTCCAGAGTTTAAGCCCCAAGACTGGCCAAAAATTAGTTTCCCTGAAGCTTAAAAATAAATGTCTTTGGATCCTTAACTCATATATCCCCAATCAGTTCTTCTGACCTGTCTCTGGTTTATGCACTGTTGTAATGTATTTAGTAAGTAAAGTTTTTACAAAGTTCTGATTTAGTGTCATGGCTCAAACCTGTAATCCCTGCTACCTGAGAGGCAGAGAACAGAACTGCAGGTGGAGGCAAGCTCATGCAAAAAGCTAGTGAGACCCCCATCTCAATAAACAAGCCAGGTATGATGGTATGAACCCGTTATCCCAACTACATGTGAGGTATAGGTAGGGCTGAGGTTGGAGGCTGGCCCCAGGCAAAACATGAGACCCCACCTGAAAAATAATTCAAGCAGCTGGGTGCTAGTGACTCACGCCTGTAATCTTAGCTACTAAGGAGGCTGAGCTCTGAGGATCTCGGTTCAAAGCCAGCCTAGGCAGGAAAGTCCATGAGCCTCTTATCTCCAATAAACCACTAGAAAACTGGAAGCAGTGCTGTGGCTTAAGCAGTAGAGTGCTCGCCTTGAGCTGAAGAGCTGAGGGACAGCGCCCAGGCCCAGAATTCAAGCCCCACAACTGACCAAAAAAAAAGAAAAAAAAAAAAGCAAAAAGGGCTAGGAGTGTGACTCAAGTGGTAGATTGTCGACCTAGCAGGTACAACGACCTGAGATCAAATCCCAGTACTGCTTTAAAAACATGCACATGAACACACACACAGTGACAAAGAACCTGGCAGAACATTTCTGGACCCATTTGATAAAGCCAGAACCCATTCAGCAGTGCAAAAACATGTCAACATGCTCAAACCTGCTTTTATTTGTCAGTTGTGGGGCCTGAACGCTGTCCCTCAGCTCTTCAGCTCAAGGTGAATGCTCTACCACTTGAGCCACAGCCTCACTTCCAGCTTTTTTGGCTTATGTGGTACTAAGGAATCGAACCCAGGGCCTCATGCACGTGAGACAAGCACTCTTATCACTGAGCCACCTTCCCAGCCCTCAAACCTTTTAAAGCCCAGAGGGAACCAATCACTCAGTCCAGGGTTTTGGCTAAATGTTGTGCTGCATTGACTCTTGCAGCACACTCCTACTTCAAAAGGGTGTGTGTGCCAGGCAACCATGGCTCACATTTGTTATCCTAGCTACTCAGGAGGCTGAGATCTGGAAATCGAGGTTTGAAACCAGCCAGGGCAAGAAAGTCTGTGGGACTCTTATCTTCAATTAATCACCAAAAAAAGCAGAAGTGGAACTGTGGCCCAAGTGGTAGAGCACTAGCCTTGCGCAAAAAGTGCTCAGGGAAGCCGGGCGCTGGTGGCTCACACCTGTAATTCTAGCTACTCAGGAGGCTGAGATCTGAGGATCACTGTTCAAAGCCAGCCCGGGCAGGAGAGACCGTGAGACTCTTATCTCCAATAAACAACCAGAAAACCGGAAGTGGCGCTGTAGCTCAAGTGGTAGAGCGCTCGCCTTGAGCTGAAGAGCTGAGGGACAGCGCCCAGGCCCAGAGTTCATGCCCCACGACCGACAAAAAAAAAAAAAAAAGTGCTCAGGGACATCTCCCAGACCCTGAATTCATATTCCAGGACTGACACAAAAGAACAAAATCAACAACAAAAAAAAAGGGCATGTGTGGCTGCGGCTCTCGGTAGGACTGTGTGGCACAGATACCCAGGCTCCTTGGGGCTGCAGCTGAATGTAGGCCCCTTTCCCAGGGTCTGAACATCCCATCTTCTGAGTGGGGCCCTCTGCAGGCACACTGGGTCCCCTCACCCTTCCAGCGTGGGGACGCCTTCGTGCCGGCCGGTGGCCCGCCGGGCGGTGAGACGGGCGCGGGGCTGCCGGGCGCCATACCGATGCCGAGATTGGTGTTCTCTCTCCCGTCGGCTTTCGGGGTCCCTGCTATCACTGGCCTGCGCCCCAGGAGGAAACGTAGGGATCTCGAAGCTGTCGTCAAATATGCCGAAAGCAAATTGTCCATAGCCCTGGGGCAGTGTGAACAGGTGCTGGTCCACATTCTGAGGAGAGAGTGGGTGCCCTGAGCCTGCGTGGTCTTCTGGGTGCTGTGCATAGCCAGGTAGGGTGAGGGAAGACTAGGGAATGGCACTGGGAGAGGGGGTTGTCAGGCGGTCCAGTAGAATTTCACTTTCCTTCAGAAAGTGACAGATCCAGTGGGCGGCCCACAACCTCCACATGGTCACCTGGGGGGAGGGCAGAAAGACAGGTGCGAGCCCTGCATCTGCCCACCATCCAGCCCTGTTGGCCCCCCAGTCTCCTTGGCTGCATCTTTGCAGGCCGGTCTGTTGTGGGGACCAGGGGCACTGTGAGTCAGGGCAGAGGAACATGGCTTGTGTACTCGCTCCTGTAGGTGCAAGGCAAATCTTGGACAGCAATTTATGGACATGGATGTGCAGAGAAGGGGATACAAAAGATGGGTGGGTACTGGGGGACCCAAGGAAGGGGACAGCAGCCAGAGTGAGGGCAGTTCATGGCTGCCAAGCCTCAGCCCCTCCAAGGCAGACCACCACAGGTGGAAGAAGGAAGCATGCATCATGGGGGACTAGAAGCTCCCACTTACCTCGAATGGCTGCCGGCTTTGGTCAGTGGGGGCCGTGGAGGGGGCAGAACTGCTTTCTGTATTCCTGGGGAAAGATGGCGCCTGTCAGCAGCGGTCAATATCCCTCCCTGTCCCCCAGGCATGGGGCCATCCTCTGCAGCCCATTCCTGGTCCTGCTGTCGGGAAGGTAGGATTCACCATGATGGAGATGCTGACCACTTTCCTGGCAGGAAGACTGACCCAGAAGAATCAATGCATGGCTGCATAGTGGGTCTATGAACACAGGCTTGCTGGCTAAGCCCATCAGGCTCTGAGGGCTCAGGCTGGGGGCATGCATCATTGGGCAAAGAACCCTAGCTGAGGCTGGGAAGTTGGCTCAGTGGTAGTGCTTGCTTCGCATGCATGAAGCCTGGGTTTGATTCCTCGGCCCCACATAAGCAGAAAAAAGCCACAAGTGGTGCTGTGGCTCAAGTGGTAGGGTGCTAGCCTTGAGTTGAAGAGCTGAGAGACAGCACCCAGGCCCAGAGTTCAGCCCCCAAAACCAACCAAAAAAAAAAAAACAAAACTCTGGCCCATGGTGGGATCAAGGTCAGAGCAGGCTTGCCCAGTCCCATCCAAGGTCCCTGCCTGCAATGCCAGCCTCTGTGACCAAGGGCTGCACTACCTGGTCTCTTCTGGAAGCTCTTCGATAAAACCAGACTCACATCTCGGGCAGATGTAATCCTGTGGGAGAGAGTAAAAGCCAAGTCACCGAGAGCCATCTACCTGTAAACCACTCTCTGCACTGGGGAGGCGGGGAGGGGGGGAGGAGGAAGGGGTGTCTGTTGTCTGATAGGCACGGGCCTTGAGGTCTGCTCTTCATCTGTGCATGTGGTGGTGCGTGGACGGATGAAAGAGGCTCTGCTGTGCATAAGGTGGGGGTGAAAGGGTGAGGACAGCTCCCTCCCTCATCCCTGACCACTAAGTCACCCTTTCCCCAACTCCTCTCTCCCTCCCAGGGAGACCCAGGCTAATTAGCACATGTTCCGCGGTGACAGAAGGCTCAGTGCCTTCTTGTGGGAGGCACAGAAAGAGGACACATGCGGGACCCTGCGCCAGGGATCCACTCGAGAGAAATCAGGCGTGCCATCCCCAAACAAGCTTCATCACTCCATGAGGGCAGCCCCAGCCACAGACTCATGCTACAGGCAAGATGGGGCTCAGCGTCCTACAGCCACCTGCCCCAGGACATGGACACAAACAGGGAGGAGAGGAATGACTGTAAGTGACATGCAGGTAACCCTTCACATGGCAGGGAGGCCAAGGTACACCCCAGGGTTCTGGAACTACTCTGAGGGTAAACACAATGCTAGGGTGGCTGTGGGCCTCTCACACTACCCAAGGGGACTCTGAAATGTGAGGGTGGTGAGGCTTTACCTGCTGGCCTCTAGGGAGGGGTGGACAGAACCCTCCCCACCCCACTGTACCTGCTCTAGCAGCAAAAGCAAAGGCTGTATGGAGGACAATGGGGCTCAAGCCAGGTGAGCAGAAGGGGAGGGCAGCTGTGCAGAGAGGCCTAAGAAGAAGCAGAGGAGGCTGGCTGGGGGGGGGGGGGGGGGGGGGGGAGTATTGGTGGTGGAGGTCACACACAAAGAATGCTGTAGCCCACTAAGAAATACACAAGTTAAAAACCAGGCCAGCGACCTGTATATACAGGTAGGCCTGTAGTTGGCCAATGAGCACAAGACGCCCAGTAACATTAGTCACCAGGGAAATAAGTGCCAGCGTGACTCAGTTGGTCTGGGATGGTTGCCCAAGACAGGCCTCGCCAGGGCTGATGGCAGGCAGGGTGCTAAGTCAGATGGGGGCCCACACTCATTACAGACACCGGCTGCCACCCACTCTAGGGCAAGCACAGCACCTGCACACAAGCCAAGGCCCGAGGCAGCACTGTCTTCACCTCCCACTGGCCCAGCCCCGCACGTCTGCCTGCTGTTGACCTCAGCCACACACATGCTGTGCACACAGTCTTGTCCTCGGCCAAACGTCCTTCCCCTAGGGGTCCACTCACTTGCTGGATCCTCTGCACAAGCTGTGTTCAGAGGCCGCCTTGACTGCCCCACTGCTTGGGGGACGTGGACTAAGCTCCCGCCGAGCAGGGATCTATGCAACCTCATGTCCACTGCACAGAAGCTGGGCACAGGATGTCCTGGGGCATGTATCACACTTCACGTATTGCCCTTGGCACAACACACACATATTGAGAACACACAGCCAGACACATACAGGGAAGCTGGGGAAACTGAGGCAGAGGCTGGAGAGAGGGCTGGCATCAAATGACCACCTGGCTTCAGCAACATCAGTCCCTATGAGCCGCAGGCCACAGGGAGCTGTGTCCTTCCATGCTCAGTCCCCTTCACTCTGGTCCCTGCTTTTCAGGGTCCAATCTGGGGTGTGGGGCACAGATGGGTGGGGACACCACCGCTTTATCCATGCACAACCCTGTTGACACACTGCTTCCTGCATCCCAGACGACACCACCATGGCCTATGTTTGCACTGTCTATCCCTGGGTGAGCATGAGCCCCCATGGAGGACATAGGACTCCTACTGCTATCTGGCAGGCAAGATGAGGCCCGATGCGGTGACTACAATCAGAGCACCTGGCAGAGTGGTGGCCAGCACTCACACAAGCTGGCAGGCACTTCAGCCCAGTGGAACCGGACCCTCCCAATTCTTTCCAGGATACCAGACACTGCTGGCGATCCTGGGGCCTGGTGTGCTGTCCACAGAACCCCAAGTCAGATCCCCCCTAGGCCAGGAGAACTCAACCCTTGCCATTCTGTCCCAAGCCGCCTGGGCATCCCAAGGCCTGAGTCCACCACCAGGTACAGAACAGCATGCACTAGAGTGCTTCACCTCTGCTCTGGGGGCCATGGTTTCCGCACCCCCTCATTGGGGGTGGGAAGACATAAGAAGAGGGAAAGCTGGGGCTGGGAAGGTGGCTCAGTGGTAGAGCGCTTGCCTTATATACATGAGGCCCTGGGTTCCATTCCTCAGTGCCACATAAGCAGAAAAAGCCGGAAGTGGCACTGTGGCTCAAGTGGTAGAGCGCTAGCCTTGAGCTGAAGAGCTGAGGGACAGTGCCCAGGCCCAGAGTTCAGGCACAGGATACACTAAGCTAGTGGCCAGAGAGCAGAGGCAGACACTCTCCTGTGGTGGAGCAAGGAGCAGGAAGAACGTAGGTAGGCGGCCCAAGACCTCCAGGAAGAAATATAGTCCTATTAAATAAAGTCCTAATGGGGGCAGTTCAGGCATGAGGATAGTGCCCAGTCAGAAGATAAGAATCAGCACTGGCCAGGCATCAGTGGCTCACCCCTGTGATCCTAGCTATTGAGGAGGCTGATATCTGAGAATCACAGTTCAAAGCCAGACCCGGTATTAAAGTCCCTGTGAGACTCTTACCACCAATCACTCAAAAACTGGAAGTGGAACTGTGACTCAAAGTGGCAGAGTGGGGCTGGGAAGGTGGCTCAGTGGTAGAGCGCTTGCCTTGCATGCATGAGGCCCTGGGTTCGATTCCTCAGCACCACGTAAGCAAAAAGAAAAAAGCTGGAAGTGGCGCTGTGGCTCAAGTGGTAGAGCGCTAGCCTTGAGCTGAAGAGCTGAGGGACAGGGCCCAGACCTAGAGTTCAGGCCCCACAATCGGAACCCCTCCCCCCCAAAAAGTGGCAGAGTGCTAGCCCCAAGCAAAAGAGCTCAGGCCCAGTTGGGCGCTCACGCCTGTAATCCTAACTATTCAGGAGCCTGAGATCTGAGGATCGAGGTTCAAAGTCAGCCCAGTCAGGAAAGTCCATGAGACTCATATCTCCAATTAACCACCAGAAAACGGGAAGTGGCGCTGTTCTCGAAGTGGTAGAGCGCTAGCCTTGAGCTGAAGAGCTCAGGGACAGCGCCCAAGCCCAGAGTTCAAGCCGCAAGACTGAGAAAAAGGAATCAGTACTGGGGCCAGGAGCCAGTGACTCACACCTGTAACTCCACTCAGAAGGCTGAAATCTGAAGATCATAGTTTGAAGCCATCCCAGGCAGAAAACTCCATGAGACTTATCTCCACTGAGCTATCAAAAAAAATCTAAGTGGTGGAAGTGGTGTTGTGGCTCAAGTGGTAGAGCGCTAGCCTTGAGCTGAAGAGCTGAGGGATAGTGCTCAGGCCCAGAGTTCAAGCCCCACGACTGAAAAAACAAAACAAACAAAAAAAAAAAACAAAAAAACAACTAAGTGGTGTGGTGCCTCAAGTGGTAGGGCATTAGCCTTGAAGGGAAAAGAGTAAGGGGAAAAAAAGAAAGCTCATGCATAATGCCTAGGCCCTGAGTTCAAGCCCCAGAACCCATGCCTCTACCCAAAAATGGCACACTCTGGGTAAGGCAGATTCCCAGACAACCCATGGATCCCAAGAGCAAATGTGCAAATGTGCAGCGGGTCCCTCCCTACTACCTGACGCAGCCAGCTGGCCAGTGCTGAACAGGTGCTACCCAAGGCACTCCACACCCACACAGCACATGGCCTTCACTAGCATGTTCTGAGGGGTCAAGCCTGAGCCAACCAATGTACCTGCCTGTGGCCTCCAGCTGGCCCATCTGGTTCATGCTTCTACCCCCACCAGCCAGGCTAGCCTTCCTGGATCCTATGTGCTATGCCACTGCCCCTTACAGCCACATATTTACCTGGGCACCAACACCTGCTGAGCCCCAACTGTGCACACAGCCAGCTCCTGGCTGACGACAGTGGACACAGGCAAGTTGCCAGCCACCTGCAGACATGTACTCCTGGACCCCAACACACATAGATGGAAGGCCAACCCAGGCCACAGACAGGTAATCCTGCTGAGGTCAGAACACTGGCACCACTAGGTGCCCTCAGCCTGTCCTAGCACCAAAGGCAGCCCTAGAGAAGCCCTGAGAGTCTGGGAGTCACCACTGCAGGGTAGCTTCCTGCTGCCACAGAAGCTGATATCTCACAACCAGCTCAAGTGTTTTAAGTTGCAGCAGGTGTCTCTGTATCCACACGTGCAGCAAGTTCCCCTCCTCAGGGTGCTGGTGGTGGGCGGGGACTTTCCCATAATGCCTCATCCCATCATGCCTGCTGAAGAGTCCTGCTCTGACTCACGGCAAGAACACCAGCACCAGTCACAGGCGAAGACAGAGCCACCATTATTTGCTCCTATGAAACTTACCAATGCCTGTGCTTCAACCAGTTACTCCCCTGCCAGCCTACAAACCCTAGGAGGGCAAAGACCACACGGGGTCATTGTGCCTAGAGGAAAGTTCTACCCAAGAACATGGCGAGTCAGAGGTCAGGGTCCTCCTTGTTCAAGGCCACAGGGGCAGGAAGTGACCCCACAACCACACCACAGGTGCTGTGCTGGTCCCAGGAAGGGAGATTAATAGCAGCTAAGGGTACAGCTGGGTCAGGCTGCCAGGGTCAAGCCTGACCTGGGGTCGCACCAACTTCTAGAGATTGTACCAATCCTGACTGGACACGGTTAGAGCACCTTGCTTGGAATAGGCAAGAAAATCAAACTCTGAACTGAGGCTCAGGAAAGTGAAGGGGCAGTAGTAAGGCTGGGAGGTGGGGGAGTTGAGGGGGAGAGGGCTGAAAGTGGCTTTCAACTTTCCAGGCCTGCATCACACCCTCAATTTTACTGGGGGGGGGGGCACCTCTTTCTCCTGCTCACCCCTTGAGCTGCTCCAGTACTCTTCTTCCTGGAAATCCCATGGGCTCCCCTTTGGGTCCAGCCTCTCAGACAATACTATATCCTCAAAGGTCAGCTCCTAACTCTGGCCAGGAAGTAGGTCCACAACCCCTCATGCAGATCACCAGTCCCAGATCTCCTTCCATCTCTTCTTCCTGCTTCTCTCTAGGTGGCCAGCTGCAGGACCATGTGCCATACTCTGCTGAGCCCAATCCCTGGAAAGCGGGATTGGGTTGCCTTACACCCCGTCTCCGTCCCACTGGAGGCGGGAAGCGAGGGATGAACACGCAGATGACTGTCTGCCCCCCACCCCCTCCGCTCCGCAGGCTCACAATCCCGATGACGGGGGTGGGGGGGGGTTGAGTGGGGGGGAAGGCGCTGGGAGAACAATTTGCCCCCAAGCCCTCCACCAAGATGATGGCAGGTTGGCCTGTGCTCCGCACAAGAACCCAAAGAAGCAGGAAGCGCCCAGGACGCGCAGGCCGGGAGGCAGGCAGAGCACCTGGGCGGGCGGGCGGGCTGGCTGGCTTGGGACTCTGCGCCCCGGCCAGGGGCTGACAGGATCGCCAACACCAGCCGCCAGCGGCTGCGGAGCCCCCCTCATGGCGCCTGGAGCTCCAGACCTCGCCAACCCAGCCCCGAGCCGGGAGATGCGCCGGGATCCCGAGGCCGACGCGGTGCGGCGCGCCCCCGCACCAGGGCCACGCGCTCGGCGAACGCACGCCCCTGCGCCGAGGCCGGGTCTGGCGCCCCGCGGCCTTCCGTCCAAAGACCGCGTCCTCCCGGGCAACGCCCGAGGCCCGCCTGACCCTACGGGGAAGGCCTCCGGGTCCGCGCCTCAAGAGCAGCCGAGTGCACGGAACCCCGGGGCCCCGGATCGTCCGGGGTCTCCGCGGCGGCCGCAGGGTCACCCGAACCCGCCCCGCTCCCGTCGGACCCCGCCGTCCCGCACCCAGCGCGGGAAAAACCTCGCAGGCGCTGGCCGGCCTCAGTTTCCCAACTAGCGTCCCACGCCCGGCCGCGGCCCGACTAGGCCTGCACGCACGGGCCCACCGCCCGCCCGGCCGCCCGCCCGTCCGCCCAGGCCTCACCGGCAAGCGCGGCACGATCTCGACCGAGCAGCAGTGGCAGAAGTACCGTCCCGGCTGCGGCGACGCCTCAGCCATGGCCACCGCCGCCTCCGCGCCGCCCGCCCGGCCCCCGCGCGGCGCCCGCCGCCCGCCGCCGGCCGTTTGCTGCTCCCTCGCCGGCCGACGCGCCCGCGCACGCTCACCCATGGTACGCATGCTCACGCACGGCACGCATGGCGTGAGGCGCGGGAACGACGCGGGGAAATATGCACAGCGGAGGGGGCGGGGCGACGTGAGCGACGGTGGCCGTAGAGGAGCAAACAAAGTACCGCCGTCCACACGAGGCTTCGAACACGGGGCGGAGCCAGTCGTGACAGACAGCGGAGGAGGCTGCCGTGGCGTGCCTGAGAGGGGCGGGCCGAATCTTCTTGACAACCTGGATCAGATGTGTGGCCACGCCCAGAGACGGCGGAGCGGGGCGAGGCCTGCACGGGGGGGGGGGGGGAGCGGGGCGGGGCCGTCTCCTTGGCAACCTGGATCTGGGCGGGGACGGGGTCAACTTGGGAGCTGCCGAGAAAGCCGAGGGGCGGGGCTTGCTCGGGACAGGACCGAAATTCCCGGATCGGGGGCGGGGCCCGGAAGAGATGCAAATTAGACCTGGAGGCGGAGCCTGTACTTCCTCTGCGAAGTTCTCTTCCCGCAGACCTCAGGTCCCGGGGCTTGAGCTCCAGGCCCGGGGGCTGGCTTGTCCCTCTGGTTGCTGTGCTCATGACTTGAGCTCTCCATCTGTCACCACGGCTGCACTTCCGGTTTGTGGGTGGGTAATTGGAGATAAGAATCTAGTGGACTTTCAGGCTGACTTCGACCTGGGATCCTCAGGTCTCAGCCTCCTGAGTAGCTAGGATGACAGGTTGTAAGCTAACCAGCCAGCTCACAAACCTGGCCTGGGAAGGGAGTTTTGTAACTTGTTCTGGAGTGAGTCTGTAACAATGCCTGGCACATAGCAGGTGCCTGCGGCTTGAATGCAGACAGAACCCCGTTTGTGAATGGAAGGAGGAACCCTCGGAGCCTACGCAGCTGTGTGCGCGCCTCTGTGTGCGGCCGTGGGAGAAGAGCCTGTGGCCTTGTTCCTGTGCTGCTTTGGGCTGGCAGCCTCCGAGTTTGGAAGGTGCAGTCTTCCCTCCTCAAATGAACCAGCACCAGTCTCATTGTTATGGTGGTGAAGGATAGTTTCTGAGGTTGCTTCCAGCCTCGTCTTACATATATTTATTTGTTCCACATGTATTGGGCACCTACTGCATCCCGGACCCTGTGCTGGATATAGCCAAATCCCCTCCATTTTATGAGTTTAGATGGGATGATAGGGCCATAGGGTAACCTTGGCTTTTCCCGGACAAGGAGGGCTTCCTAAAGGGAGAAGGCATTGGAACCATGGCTTCTGAGGAATGATTAGGAGTTGGTTGGAGTTGTGCTTCCTGCAGAAGGGGGCATTGGACGGGCATTGGATTTGACTGCTTTAAGCACCTTCCTGCCCACTTTCCAAGGGGCTATTCTAATCCATTCCTACAGCTACCAGCAGAGGGTGCACAAGTCCCACTGCTAGGAATCAGTTACCTCTCCAGACCTCTACTACGGGCTTTCGGTGACAGCGGACTTTGGGTGACAGCGGACTTTTCTCCAGCGCTTCCATAGGCCCAGCCCCAGAATGATTTCACAGTCACCCTTCTTCAAGATATCATCCTTGTGGCAGGTCAGGATGCTTGTAAAGAGGGCTTCAGGCAACAGGTCTGGATTCCAAGTCCTCACAAAGCCTCCACTGACATTGTGACCCCGGACAAGTTGCTTAACTTCTCTGAGCCTGCCTTCTAGGGTTTTAGATTGGATCAGGCTTGGAGCCCCGGGTCCTCTTAGTTCTTCTTAGGCCCCAGAGGGTCCCTGTCACCTCTCCTCTTCACTGGCCTTTTTGGGTGATGAAAGAGGAAGCTACCTTAGGCTTTTGCACCTTTTCCTGGGTCTTTTCTTCCCTGGCACACTCATAGGGAGCCTCCACCCAATACTCTGCTCCTCAGAAACTCTTCCTGTACAGCTGGCTCTACACCCAGGCATTAACAACCATGTCACCCAACACACAGGGCTAATATCCAGCATGCAGTTGGTCCTGGGCAGAACTGGAATAATGGTTTAGCATATGTGGTCCAGCAGACTCCTAGGGAGGCAGTAGGAACAAGCATGTTAGAAATTAGGCTGGAGGCATGACTCAGCTGGTAGAGTGCCTGCATAACGAGTTCAAGCTCCAGGACCACTTAAACAACAAGAAAAAAAAAAAAAGCAGCAGGCACCAGTGGCTCACACCTGTATTCCTAGTTACTCAGAAGTCTGAGATGTGAAGATCATGGTTCGATGCCAGCCCAGGCAGGAAAGCTAGTGAGACTCTTATCCCAATGAACCACAAAAAACCAGAAGTGGAACTGTGGTTCAAGGGGTAGGATGCCAGGCTGGCGTGAAAGAGCTAAGGAACAGTACCTAGTCTCTCAGTTCAAGCCTCAGCACCACCACCAGAAAAGAAAAAAAAAAGTGGGGCTGGGAAGGTGGCTCAGTGGTAGAGCGCTTGCCTTGCATGCCTGAGGCCCTGGGTTCGATTCCTCAGCACCACATAAGCAGAAAAAAAAGCCGGAAGTGGTGCTGTGGCTCAAGTGGTAGAGTGCTAGCCTTGAGCTGAAGAGCTGAGGGACAGCGCCCAGGCCCAGAGTTCAGGCCCCACAACCAGACCCCCCCCCCAAAAAAAAAAAAAAAGTTGGGAGCCTGAGCTTCCTGTCCAAACCTCCTAGACATGGAGACAAGCAGAGGAGAACTGCACATGACAGAGCCTGGCTCATTCCAGGTCGCTGAGCTTCCGCTCTGCAGGCTTTCCACACCCAAGTTCAGCCTTGTTCTGGGGCAGCGAACTCAAGTGCTTGGGCAGGTCTGTGTGGGGCCTGGCAGCCACTGGGACCACGCAGACAGACCTGGGAGGGGTGAGCTGCATTCCGGGGTACTCTGGGGCTTCCTAAGGTCCAGGTCCCAATGGGATCCTACAGACCAGATGTTCTTGGCATCCCTGGGATGTTTTGCTTTGCTTTGTTTTTGTGCTGGTTCTGGGGCTTGAATTCTGGGCCTGGGCGCTCTCCCTGAGCTTTTACACTCAAGGGAAGTTCTCTACCATTTGAGACACAGCTCCACTTCCAGCTTTTTTTGTTGGTTAATTGGAGATAAGTCTCACAAACTTTGCTGCACAGACTGGCTTCAAACTGTGATCCTCAAATCTCAGGCCCCTGAGTAGCTAGGATTATAGGTGTGAGCCACCAGCACTCAGCTTCTTTTTTTTGGGGGGGGAGGGGGTCCAAGTCGTGGGGCCTGAACTCTGGGCCTGGGCGTTGTCCCTCAGCTCTTCAGCGCTCTGCCACTTGAGCACAGCACCACTTCTGGCTTTTTTCTTTTTGCTTATGTGGTGCTGAGGAATTGAACCCAGGGCCTCAGGCATGCAAGGCAAGCGCTCTACCACTGAGTCACCTTCCCAGTCCAGCACTCAGTTCTTGAGAAAGATTTTGCAAGTGGATTTTGGCGGGAGGAAGCAATGTTTTAGAGCAACACTGATCTCCTCCTGTTACTTGCTTTTTGTTTTGTTTTATTTTTGCTGCTAGTCCTGGAGCTTGCATTCAGGGCATGGGAGCTGTTGCTGAGCTTTTTTGCTCAAGGCTAGTGCTCTACCACTTGAGCCACAGTTCTACTTCAGACATTTTGGTGATTGATTGGAAATAAGAGTCTTAGAGACTTCCTTGCTTGGTCTCAGATCTCAGCCTCCTGAGTAGATAGGGTGATAGGCATAACCTACTAGCGCCAACTTCCTCCCATTATTTGTAATAGAGTTGTGGTTTTCCCTAGTCTCTCAGGGAAGAATACCAGCTCTAACCTTCTCATCTTTGTGTGTGTATGTGTGTGTGTGTGACAGAGAGAGAGAGAGAGAGAGCGCATGTGCGTGTGTGCATGCGCACAAGCGCACACTATGCTAAGTTCTGGGGCTTGAATTCTGGGCCTGGGCACTGTCCCTGAGCTCTTCAGCTCAAGGTGAGCACTCTACTGCTTGAGCCACAGTGCCACTTCCAGTTTTCTAGTGGTTTAGTGGAGATAAGAATCTCACAGACTTTCCTTCCCTGGCTGGCTTTGAACCCTGATCCTCAGATCTCAGCCTACTGAGAAGCTAGGATTACAGGCATGAGCCACTGGCAAGAGGCTCTTTGAGACTTTTTGCTCAACACTTTTAGCTACCACTTGAGCCACAACTCCACTTCTGGTTTTCTAGTAGTTAATTGGAGATTGAGGAGGCTGAGATTTGAGGATCACTGTTCAAATCCAGGTCAGGCAGAAAAGTCTGTAAGACTTTTATGTCCAATTAGTCACCAGAAAACTGGAAGTGGAACTGTGGATCATAATGGCCAGCCTTGAGCAAAAGAATTCAGGGACAGCACACATCACCAAAAATAAAAAAAGAGGAAAAAAGAAGGAAAGAAAGAAAAGTCTCATAAACTTTGCCACCCAGGCTGGCTTCAAACAGCAATCCTCAGATCCCAGCCTCCTGAGTAGCCGGGATTACAGGTATGAGATATGGGCATCCAGTTTCCTTCCCACCTCTACTGGGCACCAACCCTTGGCCTCCTGGAACAGCCATCTTTGGCAAAATTGCTCTCTCCTTCCCCCACTTCTCTGACCTAGGAGCCCTGTGCACTTAACTCCACCCAGCCCTCTTCTCTACATGGAGCTGAACCCCCATCTGCTTCCACCTTGAGCAGGGGACTTCTACCTGCGCCTACATTCCCAAATCTCTCCCAAGGAGTCCCCAAATGTGATAAGGAGTTGTGGGGTAAAGTCTGAAGGTAGCACAGACCCCTCCCATCCTAACCCTGTGTAGAGGGCCAGCTGTTCATGCTCTGAGATGTCTTGGACATCATTCCAGTAAGACATCCTTCCTTGGCCTGGGGATGTGGCTTAGTGGTAGAGTGCTTGTCTAGCATGCATAAAGCCCTGGGTTCAATTCCTCAGTACCACATCCCAGAAAAAAATGGAAGTGGTGCTGTGGCTCAAATGGTAGAGTGCTAGCCTTGAGCCAAAGAAGCTCAGGAAGCCAGGCACTGGTGGCTCATGCCTATAATTCTAGCTACTCAGGAGGCTGAGATATGAGGAAAGTCCTTGAGACTCTT